TTCTTAAATTCCTCCTTATTCTCATGGTATAAATTTTAACAAATAAATTTTTATTTATATAAATCACAATTACATCAAAAAGTGCTACTCTGTTACCAGTTTTGCCCCAAGCTATTGACTCAAAATTATGGGTTAATTTCCAGAGATGCTGAGCACTTGCAGTGTTCTAGAAGAGTTCAGGTAAGCAATAGGACTCCATATTTCTCAAATACAAATTGCTTACTAATAACCTGTTGCCAAGGAAATCCTCCCCAAGCATTTGGGCAAAGAAAATATGTAATGCATTCTCTGTATAGTTCTCCTTCCAGACAGTTACTCTATGGTATAGGGTACAACAAGACAAAAGAGAGAGAAAATTCCTGGACTAATCAAATTTCCATAGAGGGATTTGAGGCTAGGCATATAAAATAAGTAGACAAAAAAAATCTAAAGAGAAAATTATATTAAAATTTTCCATATGTGAAAAACATGATATGTGACTGCAGTTACATTTTGTGCATTAGGTACTTTTCATCATGACTGCAAGTCTGGGAGAGAAGAGGAACATGAACCAGGTGTGATGGCTCATGTGTAAACAGAGCAGCAGAGGCTGAACACAGAGAGGTCTCTGTCAGGTTACTTTTAAGTGATAAGAAGGTATCATTAGGAAGGAAGTTTTGTTCAGACTGACTTGTTAGCTGATTATCAAGTAACTTTAATAAGGAAAGAATTGTGCTTTCATAAAAATGAGACAATAGCTTTGACACAGCAAAAGTAAATGGTTTCCTTATCTTACTGTAGCCCAGGTTGGAAAACAAAGTCATGACTGCCTAAAGAACTGCAGGACTTATCCAGACAGATATCTTACATTTTTGAAGGGAGTTATTAAATAAGACTTACCCCATCTCACTCCCGTGATTGCTCTAATTCTCTAGGAGAGTGCGTTTATGTTACATGACTTTACCAGGAAGGCTACTGAAAATATGTTACATTTTCAAAACTTGCCTTTCTTCAGAGCAGCAAAATTTGAGAATTTGCTTTGAATATATAGAAAAGTAGTCTCATTTAGTATCATTTAAAGATCGTGTGGTCATATGATTTTAAAATCATGTTGCATTATCAGTAATTTACTGTGTTCTCCATAACTTACCAAGATTCTGCAGTACTTCTCCATTTTTTACTCTTATGGGAGAAATGCACACCAGTAAAATTACAAGACTCAAACAACATCCTGTTGCAAATATATAGATGCAGTGGACTTTTGTCTTCCAGTATGAGTCCAAACCTTCTTATGACTGTGACTGTGGGACTTTCTAAATTTAATTCTTTCCCTGCTTTGAACATACTTCTATTTTTTTTAATATGCAGTTAACTGTAAGAAATTATCTATATGTCACAGATACTTTTGAGTCTAACCATCAACAAAAGTTCACTACAGTAAATGAGTAAAAATTACTTATTCTTCATATCTTATTTATCTGAAATTTTTATAAACGTCTTACATTGCCACAACTCTGTTAAATTGTTTTCTTAGGCTTGAGCTTAAGGAACAAAAAGAAAAAACCAAAATAATTGATATTTTGTTGTGAATGGAGATTCACCATAACCTTTCATATTTTTTATTTATTAAAAAAAAAAAAAGAATAGTAAGGGACTGAAATCTGCAAATTTGCAACAACTTTGAGTCACTAAACCTCCAGAGAACCTGACAGGTCCCATGAGAACTGAGGCTAAAGGCACGTGGAATAATTATTAATTATTTAATTAATTCTTAATTACATGACCTGTTTATAATATGTGAGAAAAAAATAATCTGTCAGTTATAAAATTACATCTGTAAGAAAAGAGAACATAATTATGGGTAGGCCACATGCTCAGCCATTAGCCATGCCCAATTCTATTTGTCACAAAACCAAATCATAATTCAGCAACATGACTTAACTCACAGGAAAAACAAAATGACTTGAACTACACTCGCCTTAATAATAATTGTTATTATTATTATTGTTATTATTACTTATTTTCACTAATAAAATCCAACTGAAGCCAATGGGATTCTACACAGAACAACATGTCCTGCCTGGGTGGACTCCAAGACATATGGCAAAAAAGTGGATATCTTCAAAGTGGATGGAACCTAAGAACCTGCCTTTGCAAAAATTATTTGCAGTTTGAGGCATCTCTCAACAACCCTTCAAGCGTGATTTTCAAGAAAAAGGAGAGAGGTTTTCCAGCACTTTATGAAAATTAGAAGTTTTTAGTAACCTCCGAATGATCATACTCAATACTTTGAAAGTTACAATGCAAAGGCTACTTGATTCCATTTTGACATAAAGTAAGTTAATCCAAGCCCTCTTTTTTGCCACGAAGACATAGCATTGCACTACAGCTTTATTATGAGAATGGATCTGCAGTTTTTTGACATTTTGGAAGATTCTGTTTTCATGTCTTTTTTATTAATATTTTCTTCAGATAAATATTTCTTTTAAGGAAAATATTTGATATTAAAAGCTCACGCACAACAAATTATATTTTAGAGAAAATATTAACGAATTATACAAAGACATAAAGATTATTTGTTTCTTAGTTAGCTCTAACACACAGTATCTCAATTTCATTTAATTTCTTGTTTAAGATAAATTATTTTCCTGGCAGTATGCTATGTTCTGGACAGTAGCCCAGCTATGAGCAAGTAATGATGAATCGTTGGGATTAATTTTTAAATTAAAATAAAATTCTAGTGTGTTTAGAAAGGCTTTTAAAATTAGGTTAATGCCAAAGAAAGTGGTTTGCTTTGTTAAAAACATTGATAAAGGAAAATTACAGAGAAAGTCTACTTTTTGCTGTTATTGAGAGACTTCTAATGCCTGCCACACTCATTAGTTTTATAGGGTGCAGTTTCAAGGTTTTTCAGGACAAGTCCATGAAATTGGGAGCACTGCACAGCACTGTAATGCATTATAAGTATGAAATGCATTTGCATATATGTAATAACATAAATTCTATTTACTAAGAAGTAGCAATTACTGTGAAAATCTACAGAACATCTTTGAGGCGTATTTGAGGTGAAATTTATCCTTTAATATTCTCAATTTGTTTCAAATCTACTTTATATTTATTTTGCTTTCTTAAATATTGTCTGATTATCCTGTAATCCTCTGATCACTATTGTTTACAGAGCAAATGATAATTTCTGGGACTGGGAAGATGCTAACCTAATAAAAACACTATTTAAAAGCTTGTTTTCCTGCAAATGCTCTAGCATTATCCAGTTTGGTGACACACAGCCACCTTAGGTAGCTCTAGTGCAATGCTCTGGCCCTGTTGGGTGGGGAAGTTGCAGTGTGTTTCTTAGAGGATTGCACTTTTAGCTCATGACTTGGAGCAATGAGATGGCAGGGTTGGGAATTCCCCTTCCTCTTCTCCCCTCTGCAACAGAAGATCTTAAATTCATCAACTGGAACATATTTTACTCTCAAAAGCTCTTAAATGAGTAAATTTACTGTTCAACAAAGGTACCTCCCCGCATGATGAAGAAACTGATTCCAAGTTTAATTCTGTATTCCTGGCATTCCAAAACTGAACAGATTATACAAGATTTCTATTCACTGACTAAGGTACATAAATCATCTACCAATCCACAGATCAGCTGTCACTAGAAAGTGTCTCCTACTTTAGACTAAAGGACATTAATAGAAACTCTCTCATCCTGATCTCAAACCTGTTAAGCATATAATTATTTATTAAAATCCCCCTGGTAATGTGATACACATTACTGCTGAACAGCTCAATGACTCTTAAAACCATAGTAAATTACTTGCTGATCTTTACCGTATTAGGAGACTATATTGAGTAAATCAAGCATTTCTTCTTCAGCGACTCATATGGAGTGGCTAAGTACACAGGTCTGGTATGAATTACTCCTCCTTGGTAGCTTTCAACAGCTATCTACCAGACATCTTCAAATATCAGTATTTTTTTTAAAAAGTAACATTTTTCTACTTCTATAGGATGAGAAAACTGTCACATTTTCAAACTCTAGCTTGAAGGCACTCAGCTCTGCTGAGAGTCTCAGCTTGAAATTGTTTTATTTAGCAATTTATTTGAAATGAAGCTGTGTCTACTCCAAAAAGTAAGGAAACTTCTATTGTAACCATCCATCCCTGAGGTCCTCAGTTCCCAAAGGCTGAGAAAGAATCCATGTTACAAGTGAACACTCATCTAAATTTCTGAAAAACTGTAAAAAGAGACTTTCAAAGTTTGATGTTTTGAAAACATAAACTACCATGTACATGCTCAGTTACCTAAATAAATGACCTAGATTAGAATTACAGTCTGGATTAGAGTGAACAGGATTCACTTGCTTTAAAAATTAAGTCACTATTTGATGTAGAGAAGCACCTAATTTTGTTATAATTTTTAATTATTTTTTTCTAATACATTACTACTTATTATCTTCACATTTTACTGTCAGTAATTACAGTATATAATTTATTAATAAGTCCTCAAGACACAGGCAACAAAACAAGGTATTTTCTAATATAGTTTGTATTAGAACCATATTAGTTTTCATAATAATTTTCCACACAGTCTATATCTGAAAGAAGAGTTCTAAACTACGCATATCTTTGGGTCTGAATCTGAGAATAACCATTGCACAACCATCAGTAAAGTGTATACTGCTTCACTGAGATTTTTGTCACCGTAAATAATTATACTTGCCGGAGTAAACAGAATATGTAAATGGTAAGGTAGATTTTGATGAGTTTTGGGTTTAGGTTTGGTTTTTTTTAACTTTTCTCCTCAGATCGACTCCAAAATCTGACTTTGTTAAGCTTCTGATAAAATTTCAAAAAGGTAACAATACTTTCACTTCAATATCAGCAGTTCTTGCACAGGAAGTACATGACATATAATTATGTTTTAAACACTGGGATGTTTAAACAAGACAGACTGCAACGACACGTTCATTCATATAACACATAAATTCCAAAAGAAATAGGAAAGGTTTCTACACTGACCATAGTCTGTGTTTTCCGGCTCCCAACAATTAGATGGCCAAAAATAGGGTGTCTGTAGACAAAAAAAAAGTAGGTAACTCAAGTTAGGCAATGCAAGAATTATACAGTCCTTGGATTGATACTGTTTTTCAGAATCAATTTATATTTACAGTAGATCTATTACACTGTTTACAATTTTGAAGTAGGCATCAAACCAGAAAATTACTATTGTACAGTTGTTTTTTACACTAGTATCAGAATGACATTGAAGCAGAAGAACAAAGTATTCTTTTTATTCTCAAAGTTAGAGGAACAAAACCCACAAGGTTAGGTAGCGAGATTACATCTTCCCTAAAAACACACCTCTCACATGTCCTGAAGAATCAGTTTTAGAAGGTGTAAAGACAGAAGATCCTTTGAGGTTCATTCAGTTCTTGATTTTGGAGAGTTTTCATTAGTATAGATTAATAATCAGTACACTTTCCTAAGAGTTATTTGTTTAAAAATGCCACTAAAGTTACCACAGTCTAATTTTTTCTAATTGTTTACCAATTATGATTTAAAATTCTTTTTAAGAGAAAGAAAATAGAAGTACCAGCAATTACTGGAACACTATCCTTGTAAAAACTGTGCTAAATACATTGTTAAAATAATTCACTTCTAACAAATGAAAAGTATAAGACTATATAGGCATTTTTCAAACAAATAACTTAATTTTTAAAATAGTAATTTTTTGTTAAAATGAAAATAATTACAGTATTTTTCATAACACATCATCCCTGTATGGGCTATTCACTTAAAAGTTGGACTCAATGACCCTTGTGGGTCCCTTCCAAGTTGGAATATTCTGTGATAGATTGACTAATCTGTGTATACTTACATAACACATAGATACAGAGAGTTTCATAATATTTCAGCAGTTGAATTAAACTCATTAAATGTGTGGACCAGTTTGAGTGGTATTTAAAAACACAAGTGTTTCTTTAGGAAAAATTTCTGCTTTACTTTCTGTTTCTCAAAGAGCTCCCAGCTGCAAAAATGGAAATCCCTCTGCTGCCCACTTCCCTCAAAATTGTTTTAATGCTAATCTGGAAACCAACAGGGCTGAAGTGTGGCACATTCACAACTATCACAACTATCAAATTAAACATATATTGTGAAAAATCTTTCGCTATTGTGACATTGACCCATTAACTTTAATAGAAGCAATTTAGAATGTGCTATTTAGCAAGCAACAGCAATGAGCTGAAGGGTAAAAAAGGAACTGACTTCAAAGGCTGAGATGTGTTTCTTGCAAATTGTTTTGTACTTTGTAAGGAGCAAGAATAAGTAATTCTCTGATAAATGACTCCTTCGCAGTACCACTAAAATCAAAGTGGCCAGTTGAAGCGCATATAAGCTCAAATGGAAAAAGGGGAGGAACCTCTAAAGAATGACTTGCAGTACTCAGTGAATTTTGAAGCAAGAAGCTATAAAATTAATTTAACACATGTTAATGTGAGCCATACAAAGCAAAAAGTCACCATCATTGAAATATAGAGTTTACAAATTCAGAAAGGGAGAACAGTCCTTTCTTAGTGGCATGAGGTGTATCTTGGGAGAGGCCCAGGAAGGAAAGCACAGCTATATCATTTTTTGGCTAACAGTAACTTTAACCTTTGTTTACAGATTCAAGATGAGCTTCTGAAAAAAACTATGAAGGGAGGGTTACTAAATACATAGTATTTACATATCCACTCAGGCAGTGTCTCAGCTGAAACTCTTCCAGTTGTGGATATACTTGCTGCAAAATCCATATTAAAACTCCTCATGCATACTTAGGATTTCCTTTGACAAATTACATATACTCCATCCTGTGGCAATGGATTTGCCATATGCAGGATGGAAGAAGTCCTGTCAGAGATGGACTAGTGAAGAAAATGAAAACAGTTCAAATGTTATAGAAACCAAAGTTTTTAAGGTGGCAGGTTTTAAAATGGTTTTTACCTTTTTGCAGAGTCATTGCCCCTTCTTCCCGACACCCCCTGAGCTCCCACACAAGGTGTCCTGGTCCTTGTTAACCCCTTCCTATTGGTTGTTGACCCTTCACCTGATTGTTTTTTTCTATGTGACCCTGAACTTGTCATTGATCCCCTTTTGACCCTCCTAAAAGCCTTATAAACCCCTACCCCACAATAAACTTCCTCTTTCGTCCGTCCCTCCCTGGTGGTTTGTGTGGGCTCCTTGCCGGGTCGCCGGCCAGGTGCTGGGGTGGGGGGAAGGGCATTCACCTCGCAGGTAGTGGGCCAGCAGCCTAAGGCCCTGGAGGTCTCCCCCATCCCACTAATCCGTTGGACCATCCCAGCTGAGATTAAAAAATAAGTTCCATCTTCTGATTTAGAGAAAATCACAAAATTGCTTCCAGCATTCATTTCCCATAAGGCTATAAGGAAACACTATGTATTCATGACTACATGTTAATGATATTAGAGGAAGACTGTTTTTTCATACATAAATGAAAAGTTACACCCAGACAGCATATTGTTTTCAGTATTTAGTTGAAATAACACATTTAACTTCTATTGGAACTTGCACTTCAGTGGTGAAGGCAGTGTGAGCATTAAACACAATATGGGAAAGGGAACATGATCTTCAGTGTTGTGAAATATTGGCACCTTAGCTCACAAGGAGGCAGAGATGGCCAAGGCTTTTCTGAAGGATAAAAAGAGGCATCCTAATGTTAGAACCTGCTTCTAGTAGAAAGACTCCATTCAGACCAACACTGAGAAATGTAAAAATGCACGAAGGACACTTTTTCCTTTCCAAAGGTGAACAAAACTTATGAGGGAACAGACAAAATAGATTTTATTCCATTAGAGAATACCTGACCAAAACTATGTGGGTGTGTAGTAGTTGGAGTGAAAGTGACTGTAGGATGAGGCTGGTATTCTGCAAAAACAAGCACAGCAGCATGAGGGCCAGCAGGCTCAGAAAACAGGCAGAGGAGATCTCCTGGGAAAGTAATCAAGGGACAGAGACGGATGGAAGATAGCAGTTTTTGAAAGAGACTGTATGAAATGTCTGAGTATCTCTGGAGAGAAAGTACAGAGACAGGCCAGTGTAACCACATTGGCAATTTCCAATGAACTAAATGTGGAAAAGAGATCATGGAAAAAGCATAAAATAATGCTACTAAGGACAAGTCTAAGCCTCCCTGTGCCAGGGAGATAAAAGCAGAAAAGTTAAAACAGACCATGAGTTTTAATTAGCAAAGCACATGATAAGCCATATTAAAAGGTTTCAATAATGTGTGATAAGGTAAGCCAAAAAGAAACCCCAGTAAAAGGCAAACATTACAATATGAGAAAGGGGTTCAAATAACAGCGACTACAGATAAGTTCAGAAAATTATTAAATGCCTTCTTTGTTTGAGTCTCCAGAAGGAGGGAGAGACTGTGGTCAGACAAAGGTCTTTGTGCCCGGGGAATGACGTGCAGGCACGAGCTCTCCCTTCTAATGCTCTGAACTGGGCATGCACAAGCTGCCTCTGAACTGCAGGCCATGACCCTGCCTTCCTGGTGCTCGGATGCATTTAATGGGACTTGCTGAGAAGCGCAGCTCATCAGCTCCGGCACTGCAACATGGCCAGAGCTGGCCTCCAGCCAGCTGGCTCCCAGAGGGATCAAAGTTCAAATCTGCCTGCAATCAGCTCTGCGAACATGCCCAAAATTAATTTGGACATGAAGATAAAACTACAGGGCAAAGCACAGGGCAAAAAAAAAAAAAACCAGGAAGGGGAATATTTTTATGAGGTCAGACAGTTCAGGTTAGAACGCTGATGAAATTCAGCACAGAATACTTAAGGATTTATTGTGCTTCCATGTGGGTAAACTGTGTTTATTTGTGAAAAAGCAAAAAAAAGCCTGACCAAACTAAAAAACAACTCCTAGTTCCTCAGTACTGTGATTTATATGCATGTGTAAATACTATGATGAAATTCTTGCTCCGCTTATTTTCTTCTCTGTCTCCACCCCTACAGCAATTACTATTTAACTGATGAGAATTATCTGCATGATGTTTAAAGGGGCTCAAGTTACCTGAAGGGCAAGTTATAAATGGAAAACATATTCCTTTGAGTAACTTTTGAAACATGGGCAGTTTTTTTTAAAACAAACTAAAATCACATAAGGCAGAGGAGCTTCAGAAGACTACAGCAAGGGGAAGAACTACCTTTTCCAGAAAAGGGGAAAAGATTAAATTTTCTGTTTTATAATCTTTCTAGATCTACTGTCTAGATTGAATAATTGTAATACACTATCTATTTTTAATCTTTAAAAGCTAAAGTTTACTAATACTTGGATTTTTCAAAAAGAGTGTTAAACCCCTACTAGATGACAAATTAACAGTAGATGCTATGTATTTTGACCAAGGCAAAGTCCTACATTACTTTCTTACCAGTAAGTAAAGATTTATGTTATCACCCTAAGATATGTGCTCAAAAGCAGCTACAGCTGCTGATAAAGTTGTACTCAGAGTAGATATCTATTATTCGCTTTCATAGCAGAAAATGGCATTGATGTGTGCAGAGACAAGGAAAATTCCCCTAAAACCAGGTACAAGAAATAGGGGTAAGGGACAGGATTAAGACTTAAAGTGAAAAAAAGTCCAAAGCATCAAGCAAAAAAAAACTTTAAAAAAACCTAGATACTGAAAAAAAAGCATGATACAAAAATCAGTTTCCAATTAAAGGATTTTTTTCGATGCTGTGATTGTATAGAAAAAAGCACCAGCAATAAACTTGTGTGTAGTTAACATGACTGATGTTTTTCCAAAGGAATATTCCACATTTTCTTGCCTAATTGTTTGGTAACAAGAGTCATAAAGTTCTAGTCTTAAGCTGAAGTTTACTTTGTCCCTTGTTATAGACCTCAAACAGTTTAAACACATAACATGTGACTATAATGTATGTTCTGTTTCCACTTCTGTTTCAAAGGTCTCCACACAATTTCACACTCCAGATATTTAACAATCCCTTAGAATTTGCTGAAGTCATCCATGAAGAACTGGGGGAGAATGATTTGCCTTGCTCAACACA